TCTCCAAGCAGTTACGGAATTCCTCCCTCTCGAAGTACGGACTCTGGTCTGTTAATATGACTTAGGATACCGTGATCTGCTATCAAATGTTTCATGACCATATGGATAATGGTGGTCGCTCGTTGATCTGGGATTACCGTTGCCTCAATTCAGCGCATGAAGTGACCCGTCAACAATAAGATCTATTGGTTGCTTCACCTGGTCAACCGAAACGATCCCATCCCGTCGATCGACCATAGTCCGAGTTCTGATACCGGAATCGACAATACTGGTTGTTGTGCCCCTCGGCAGTCTGTTTTCAAGAGCTGACCTTGCTTACTTGACGTCCCTCTTCATGCCCGGCCTATAGGCGCGTTGTTTCAGCAGATCGTAGGTCCTGGAACAACCGATGTGCGCCATTTCGTGACAAGGAATCTCCAGCCTCCGCCTTAGTTTCATCGGAATAACCGGCACCGAAGTGTTGCTACCACATGGTATCCACATCAGGATCTCCGCTCACTTACTTGCAGCTTTTCAAGATTACTCGCAAACGGTCCGAGTTGCTTGTGTTGGCTTTCGTTTAGGACTGATTGGCCGGTTATTCGTACAGTGCTCACTTTGCTCAAGAGTTTGTCACTACGTTGTTCGGCCGCCAAGTGTCTCGGATCCTTTTCCAGCAGTATACCATTAATACCGAAAGCCACACTCGGCGGATCATCCTTGTACATCAGGCGTGACAAAGAAATCCGCAGTTTGGTTCCCCTTCCACGACACGTAGGTTATCGTCAATTCATATTCCTGTAGGCGCAGCACCGATCGCACTAGCTTTCCCCGAGGGTTTTGGCAGACAGTCTCTTCAAAAGGCTTGTGGTCCGTTTCGACGTTAAATCCCTGACCTAACAGCTATGGCCGCCATTTGTCTAACGCCCAGACGATTGCGACACATTCATTTTGATTGTGTGTATACGTTCTACGTGCGCCAAAATTCTGCTGGCATACTCAATCGTCCCATGGCTTTGTTCCAAAACAGCGCCGACTCCGACGTCACTGACATCTGTGGCCACCGTGAACATCTCTCCAGCAATCGGCGATTACAGGTTATGCCCCTGCATTTTCATATTCTGTAGAATGCGACCAAAGGCTTGTTAGGCTTCTGCAGTCCAGGTAAATTCCTGATCGTGTTTCAGTAGATCGAACAATGGTGAGGCCAAATTATTTAACTATTTGACGAATTAGCTGTAGTACCCAGCACGACCCAGGACCTCTCGGAAGGTGCGCTTTGGGGTAGGAAGTGAGATTCCTTGTATTGTCAATATTTTCTCAAGCAGTGGCTTCAATTCACCTGGCCTCACTTTATGGCCCAATAAACTGACACAAATCTTTCCAATCTGTAACTTCGGTCCATTTATACGGAGTCTCGACTGTTGAATCCGTTCCAGGACTCATCATCTTCACCATACATGTTAGCTGCACGTGGGAAACACACCAGCTATTGTGCCGCAATACTAAAGACAAGAAGAAGAAAAAATGCAACAGTGTCACCCCGACTTAGTCCCCAGTAACAGATGGACATCATTCCGGCAAGCAAACAGCCGGCTACCATGCTGCAAAAAGAGTTATATTATGCCAAACGAATGAGATCGTCATTGGGAGGAGAGGCGAAACAGCAGGGGGATGTACAAAGGAGCTCACAACACAAACGCCATTGGGGCCGGCTCCTAGCCATATCAGCAAGTGTGTCCAACCAAACGTGTTCATCGTCCTTAGGACCCCAGCGAAGTAGTCGGGATGCACCAACCGACTTCAACTTCGAAGTGAGGGGTTTCATTTCTCTCGACCAAATCATCGCTTGACCTTCTTTCCTACTCTGCCAACCGCATCCCCGGCGCGCAAACAATGCTCGTCGTGGGAGTCGGTGTGCTGGCATGCGCAACACGTGGCCCAGCCATCGGAGTCTGATACGTGATATAATGGTGCTGAGCGGTTCACTCGCTCTTCCTGCACCAAATACGCGACGCCGAACACGATCATTGCTCATGTGATGCTCCCACCAGACATGGGCGAAGCTTCGGAGGCAGCGATAATCGAGCGTGGCTAGCCTCTTTATGTCTGTCGACCTGATGGGCCAGGTTTCACAACCGTACTGGAGGGTTAAACGGACGGCTGCGTTATAAACTCAGGGCAAGAGTGATGTCGTATCTGCACCACAGGTGGCGCATGAAATTGTTGACCGAAACTCTTGGTCATGCTGTTGCCTGCCGTCTCCATAGATTGGATTCTCGGGATGAGTCGCACCAGTTGAGGTATTCCGTTTCTTACATCATAATGATGATTTTCACTAACTTTTCCAATTCTGTCTCCCGATATTCCTTTAGTTTCTGTCTCATTCTCCTAAAATTTGCCACTCAATTTTACCCTGAGGACTCGAGTTTTCATATCCGGGTCTGTCCCACTTCAGCACCCAGATCATTATTGTAAATAAATAAATAAATAAATTGTATATGGCTCGACGATGCGAGAAGCCGTTCCCAGAAGGGACGGATCAAATAATGGTACAGCAGTTTCATATCATGGTATAATAAAAAAATTTTAAAATGTGAGCACAAAATGAAAATTTGTGTAGCGCGAAGCGGTCCAAAATATTTACATTCCTCTTGTTCTATCGTCTGACAAGTTTTTAGCAGTCACATGAGAGTTGATCGCACACGAAAAAAAGAGAGAATAAAGTGCTGCTGGCCAACAAAATATAACCACTTGTGCACTTGACCACATGCATTTTCAGGCACCATTAACTCAGTTCTCAAAAGCGTTATCTAAGGACTGTGCTGTTCCAAACATTATTATCACATTTTGAACGGTTAGATGCTTTTTTATCGAAAGCTTAAACAAACGCAATGTGCAACAAGTTCTGATAGCTCTTGGAAGTTTGTTCCGAAGCTTTGAGCAGTGTATTAAGAAGAAACGCTCCCTAATTCGCGTATTGAACTTAGGAATCATGACCGTTGTCTCCTTATTTCGTAGCTCGTATCTAGTGTTAACGGACATATGGACACAGTTAGCATAATTGTGCATGTGATGGTGAATTATTCTGTACAGAAAACCCAAGTTCATTTTCATTATCCGTAACCAAAGTGGGTCAAGTCCAAGTTTTTCACTGCGCTCTCTGTAGGTCATCTTGGAGGAATATCCGCACAGCTTCTTTGTAAAGCGTCGCTGTACCCTCTCAAGAGCATGCTGGTCAGATTTCCGCAGATTCGACTGTAGTAGTGAGCAGTATTCCATGCCAGGCAACACATATGTTTTGTAAAGCCAGATACGAGATTCTGTGAGTTGAAATTTATGACAGATATAGCCAATAGTCTTCATGGCTTTCGAAACTTGGAAGTCACAATGTTCCGAAAAGTTGAAGGTAGGGGAATACCGCACACCCAAGTCGCGAATCACTTTGCACTGTGATATAAACGTGCCTTGTAATAATAGACTGCCTGGTGGAACTTCGCATTTGTACGACAGAATATTACACTTGTCCACGGAAAAGGACATCTGCCATAGTTTGCACCAGGATTCAAGTGCCGATACATCTTCCTGAATGCGGCACAAGGCTGCGCGGGTATCTGCACGTTCTTGTGAGTAGACGATTTTAATGTCATCAGCAAACAGAAAAGTAGCACCATGTCTTATTCTATGAAGTACATCGTTGACGTAGAGGAGAAAAAGAAGTGGACCAAGTACACTTCCCTGAACTACTCCACTGGTGACTGCTTTCGGTTTAGAGACACGGTCCCCAATACGCACCACCTGATGTCTGTCAGCTAGGTATGACGACAACCAAGAAAACATTGGTTTGGTCTAAACTCGGCGGAAGTATACAAAATGAGCAGCGAATGCGCTTTATTTTTCAATAAAACCATTTTTCGGACTAGCATTTTTGGAAATCGGCGTGTTTTCTCGTCATGGTAGTTCGTGGTGCAGTTCTCATATGCACTGATCCTACACCAACAGCGTCTACTAGTTATCCTATTTACTTTTTATACCCCATTTGGTGGTGGCAGGAAGTCCTGGTAGATCAGGTGCACAGAAACTTTGTGTGAACATCATCGATCCGTCACTCGTAATGCACACAAACAACCGCAGTTGCAACGATTGATTCGCCAGCGGACGATTGGAGATGACCAGCCCTAAGCACTTGCAGAGCATGAATAAACGCGATTGGCTAGTGCCGCAACTCCGTCTACAATGATCTGACTAGTTGACATTGGCTCGCGACGAACAAACCGCAGAGCCAATCACAACCCGTCTTAACAAAGAATCATCACGAACGGTTGAGCTTACCCAAAAGATTGTCTAGTAATAAATAGATTCTGATTGAACGCCGATACTCAGTCCTTGTTTGGGGGCCACATAAAACAACATTTTTATTCACGACAAAGCGAGGCGCAGCTTTACAGGTATGATCATATTAAGAAAAAGCGTGATCAAACATGTCCTGCAGTGAATATTTGTGTCGGGGTGTGTATATCTATGTAGTTGTGTATGTGTATAGCTGTGTAGTTTGTGCTTGTAAGTGTGCCGCTGTATTCCTGACTGTTTGATACCGTCGACAATGTGAGAATAGATGGTTGATGTCCGTGAATTGGATAGGATTATCCGGATATTTGCTGGGCATTGCCTTAAGTTTGTGGCGAGTCATGACCGCCATGGTGCAATTTTGATTAACAGAAATCTGTGACTTTTTATAGGGCGAACGCTTGCCAGGCGAAGACCCACCACCTCCTGGAACACTGCCGCCGAACTATTTGCTGGAGCGGGTTAAACCCGAAAAACCCAACTGGCACCACGAGGAGGTTGTTCGGCTAGCCAGCATGATAGGAACTGTATGCGGCAAGATTTTCTTCCACTTTAGCGAACACAGTGCCGGTGAAGACCACAAAGCTTAGGTTTTCTCAGTTTGAACATCTTCAGTCTCTGTCTTTTACTCGCCCCCCAGGACGGAGGCTGACATGGGATAGTGAATAAAAAATAAGTAGTGTCCCTTACACCATAAATTATTTCTGATCGGCCTAACTTGGAGTTCCTTATCACTGTGCCTCCTACTCTTGGAGTCGCCGATTGGGTGATACATCTTGCTAGTCGCCAGGTCTGGGTACACCGGAGCAAGCTTATCACGGGCTTCGCTCTTCCAGATGCCCGTGACCTATCATACCTGGGCTATAGGTAGACATTAACTCAACTGTTACAACGCCCACCGCGTTTGGTTACTACTTTCCAAATCGCCTGCTTCCTGACGAGCGGTGCATTGTTTCCTTTAACCCGAGTGCGACACCATGGAGATGTTTCTGTTAACTCCTTGCATCTTTTCTTCGGAAGCATTTATCCATCCCATGGGACCTATCGGAGGACAAGGATCTGGTGTTAGTGGCACAGCGAGCAGTTGTACTAATGAACCACGTGAATTCGGTTTCCTTGCAAAGCTGAATACTTTATCGAGCTCCCGAAGACGTAAGCTAGAAGCTGACGAACTAGCTGCGGAAGCCCGCCAAGCCATGGAAGATCCTTTGCATCCGGCACATTTCGAACCTGATTTGGATGGCTTTCAACTGGCAGAGGGCGAGGAGCGTTCGATGATCGAACCGCAGTCGAAAGTGAGGCTGATTTTCATTTTCTTTTGCTCATTTCCATTACTGTGAGGCAATTGGATGTCTTCAGGTTCCCTCATTATTAGACTAACAGTGCGTTAGATTATTCTTGGTTGATGACATTAAACAGATACACGGCAAGTCCTTGGATTACCACACCTTTCTGATTCATTAACCACATCTACCATATTTAAAAGCTACTGGGTTTTCCGGGGGCTCATTTGCTCGTAAACATTTCCCCGGTTGATAACCTTCGTGCTAGTAATTATAATCCGTTCATTGTAATTGGGTGAGCGTACTCACCGTGACTCGCATAACCATGCAAATGATAGCAAATAAGGCTGAAGAAGTGAAAGGTATTAGATTAAAATGCAAAACGCTTACGTCACGAAGCGAATCAATCATCCATTGATCGGTCCCATATGACTTCCCCTCTTGCTGTTGTTTGCATAGGTGTGATTAATGATTATACAGGAAACGATCACACCTCATAAAGTGTGTCCCATTAATCTTACTTTAACGGATCAGTAGCTGCAATTGGAAGACCTATACACGGATACTACTCCAGTTCTCCGACTGTGCCGTATCAGATTTGGCATTCATCCGCTGGCGCAGTTCATCTCTTGTTGCACCCATATAAATGACATTTAATTAGTCAGACTTTATCTCCTCATAAGCTTCTTCGACCTTGTTGCGTATGTCACCATTTGACTGTTCTGGTGTTTTATTCCATCGAGTGCACTCTGGAAGAATGATACGCGCCAAAAAGGAGGATCGAAATTCCACAAATATCCTGACTTTTTTAACGCAGTCATATTCAGTACAACAAAGAATCCATTTCAATGCCGCAGAATCTGTGATCAAGTCTCAGTTAATGAACCTCCGTATCATTGACCGAATAATATTTCGCTGATATCGGTTATCAAACCTAACCGATCTCTTAACCTGTGCTGAACACCATGCTAATAGTCAGTCGACTGATATCATTAATCGTCAGCCTGTCACCTGGATCTCCTCTAAAGTTACGTTTTATTTTGCTTCTGCTAGGGGTCTCATCTCTAAAGAAGAATAAGAAGAGGAAGAATATGCTGTCCTTCGTTTGGCACTAGAAAAAGCGCGCTACTAGGTTATAGTGACATATGTTTCCGGAGTCACCTTTCGTAGTTAGTAGGAACAGTCGTGGAGCATCTGCACCAACAGAGACACCGTGAATCACTAGCGCTGCGCCACCCACACCACATAACCCTAAGGACGAAAACCTGTAGGCATGCAGCTGAATCCCACAATTGATTCGCATCTTGCCCATACTTCCCTAACACGAATTCATAATGTGAGGAAACATGCGCCTCAGAATTCCAATGAGCGGTGGCCCGTTCAATAATGGAACCACTGTAGCATCCTAGCGATCATACATTGACTTCGCACTGCATCTGCTCCACCGACGATTAGATGTATACCAAAGACAATACTTGAAGTATCGGATCTTTTGAACACGTTGTTAACATTCGCATCGGGTGAAGCCAGATCTGGCATGGTAGGCGAAAACATGCGTTCAATTGTACGGGTCTAACCATAGTGCATGCATGGACTATGCATCAGGAGTGCCACATATGTCACAGTGTTGATATATACGAGGCTTTCACGCTGCTCAGACGAGAAAGAAAACCAATCACATGGACTATAAGTGTATTCCAACGCGTGCCCAAACGCTTACGGTGGTATTGCGTTGAAGCATCTATGCAAGGCACTGGTTTATCGATGATATTTAAGTTTGGCGCAATGGCAATCATTGAATATAGTCATACTTCTGCATTCGTCGCAATCAGCCGACTATTCAGTTAACTACCAATCCGGAAAAGCACTAGACAGCCGTTATGCCCTATTGGGGCTCCTCAGTGGTGCGCATCCTTCGGTCCTATTCCGAGAATCGAACCCAGGACTGCTAGTGGCTTGCGCCAACTAGCTTGCGACTTACGCCACTGAGCCATGCGGGACGGTAGCCGACCATTATGAATTGTTAGTTAATTGCGATATAGCCGGACCCATCCTCCACTGCCATGCAGGTAAATGCCATGTAGATGACAGCGCTTGTCTTTCCGGCGTCAGGGCTTCTCGGTTAGGGCAGTTATGTATCGACATAGCGTTTATGAATTCCATAATGGCCAATTCATATCACTGAATTGTATTACTGGATTGCTGAATTGTCAGCTGACTGCGACGAACACAAAATACTCATCAAAATCCTTCTACTCATAAGTAATAATCCTACTTCCCTAGAATAGAAAAACGTTATCAATGTACCCGTGATAGATGTATTCAAATTGCAGCTTCCAGCAGCTCCGATGTCTCCTTGATACAAACCTTAACCATAGAACTGGCATACCAGTTGGGCGAAAATAATGGCGAAACCTATTTGCTGTATAGTGAGCAACTTGCGAAACGCAATTACTTTCAGTACTGACTTTTTAAAAAACTTCTAGTATGGTGCTGTATAACGCTAGTTTTCCTGCCGCGATCGATAGACCGTAAAGAAATTGGCATCAGAAGTACGCCGAAACTTCGCCTCTACCCTCAGCTGCTACGCAGCCACCAGTAGTTGCCTGCGGGCTAAGCTACATCGAGGTCACTCGCACCTAAGCAGACTCCAAGTGGTAGTCCTTGAATTAGTAGGCAAACGTCGGAATCACTCTGTTACCAACGCCTAGGTAGAGATGGAAGAAGAGGGGTAGCCCAGCTGTTCGGGTCTATTGGCTCAACCTCTTGGTACCTGTAGAAACGTATACTTCTGCGCCAATGTACCAAAAAATGCTGGAAAAGCAGGAAGGTTTCCAGTTTAAATGAGACTCTGGGTGAGCTCAGTTTTACTGCATGGATCAGAAATATGGCCACTTCGCGCCGAAGACACCAAAAGTGTAGTTTATCTTTATACCGGTGCTTGTTGCGTGTTGCTCACATCTGATGGAAACTCCGGGCTAGCGGTACTGAAGTTCTCATGTTCATTGAGTGGAAAGGTCATTCTGAAATACTTGTTGGGTGAATGGATAGCAGCGTTTCCGAGGTGCATAACGCTCATCATTCATTTTCTTCGCCTGTTGATCCTTCGCGAAATGCTCTCTGGAACGACCGATTACATCGACGAGGTCAAATCCTCCATATATCCGTTGGCCACCTCTCTCGCGTCCACTGCATGCTATTGCTGCATCTAATATGTGCGAACTCACGAAGTGTGATCTCGAAATGGACCCATTCAGTGTTCCAAAACCTTATTCCGCGTAGGCCATTGGCTGTTTGGACGGATTAAGTTGAGGCAACTTCATTGAAATTACCTAAATCCTTCAACTACCCCAACCAATTAACCTTAGCCTTTATGTCACTAATGCAACGCTACCGTAGAATTGCAGCTGTTGCCATTTCTTTCCATAGTAGGACGATCTACGGTGCTTCCGGTTGCGGTTCTTCCCGCGTTTCCACCTATTATCATAAGACCCAATGGTATCGAATTTCAGTATTTGCTTGTATGGCGTGTTACTCTAACGCATCTCGATAGGCAGAATTTCACCTCATTTCCTTAGAAATTACGGCACTACGAAGGCATCATTTGAGACGTTACTCACAGCAATTTGATCCGTGATTCGCTTTGTTTTGCCACATTGCGTCGTTATTTTGCACGCAGGAGCATCCGCTGGTGCGTGATATCATTCGTATCCTCATTGAATGGATCAACATGGAACTGGCCGAAGAACGCATTTTGGTAAGGGACATTGAAGCCGATCTGTACGATGGACAAGTCCTGCAGAAGCTCATTGAGAAACTTATGGGGATACGAATCAACCATCCTGAGGTGTCTCAAACGGAGATGGGTCAGAGACAACGTTTAAAGGTGAGTCCGAAAGTCCTTACGTTTCAATTCAGATCGGTTTGGGTTGGTCCGATTTGGTTTAGCAACTAGGATCCATGCGTTGAGGTGCGATGGAATTAGTTTCCTTTATTAAAAGCAACTGGGTGAGAGATGAACATACCAGACGAGATACTTATGAGTTGTTTGTTGGAGTTCTATCACAGTCACCCTCCGGAATTGCACTAGACGGCCGTTTCATCCTTTCGGAACTCACAAGTAGTGCGCATTTCATTTGTTTCCTATGGGGCTAGAACCCTTTACCCTTCGCCTGCACGTCCGTAGTTAAGACCACAGCGGAAACGCGTCCGCCACTGTGACTCAGTAGGTGATTGTGACATATCGCACATGCTCATCCACAATTGCCATGCACCTTTCCACCATGCAGAAAACAAGTTTGATCGAGTGATCCGTGAAGTCCCCAGTTAGTGCCAACTAGTGCCAAATAAAGCAGTTAATACAGTCACTTGTGAATCGCTGCTTTTCTTCAGCAATCACAATGGAAAGTCGTTTTGGCTAGTCTGCATGTCCGCTTCATTGTTCAAGCTCACGTTGGACTTGTTACATCAATATCCCAAGTGAATTCAGATGACATGGTTATCAATCTTGATACGCCGGAATACATGAACTGTTCTTCGAAGTTTTCAGCCCGGGGTTTTAATTGGTGTGACTACGAATAGGTCAGCTGTCCATCCTTGTCATTTACCCGCTCACTTACGGGAACTCTCTTTTAGACTCGTGTGTCGAATAAGTCGGAGCAGTATGTTCGTGTTCCCAGTGCCCCTGATTTTTAGTCTTTCTTCTTAGTTCAGATAAACGGCAATGGCACACGCATCATTGCGTGTTTGACCAGCATCATCATACTTGTCAGTAGTATTGGTATTATCATTATTAGAAGTAAAAGACGGATAGGCGAACAAACTTGTTTTCGATAGTTTGAATCAGGCCAGTACACCACAGACAAAAGGAATAACACTAACACAGGGTATTTAAACGCGATGAATCAATCAAGCGAATTGACGGGTCGGTGAGATTAGGTGACGGCACTAGCTGGGGCAACATTAGTGAAAGTGTAAAGCGCGGCGTCGTAACATGGGGCGGCTTGAAGCCTTCGTAGATGAAGAACCTGTACAAATTTCTTTTGAACACATAAGTTGGGTTATGGAACCGAATAGCAATCGCCTCCGCTGTCGCTAATAAGGGACATCGTAGGGCTTGCATGTAGCGTCCAGATTTCCGGTTAATAGGCTGAAAGGCCTCCCGCACATTGAATACGTGATTTGAGTCGATCAAGTGCCACAGCACCGCGCTGGCTATCGGTTTTCTCATACCAGTGTAAGGCCACGCCGGGCAATGTTCCCGCAGTCTCTCAGACAATCTCCCGGTCGTCTTTCCAATCTAACTTACTTGACACGAGTAGAGAAAATTGGTACACACAAAAGGAACTATTCCACCTCAGTACCCTATCCTTGAAATTTTTACTCACAACTGATGTAGTAGTAAAGCTGACACGGAGGTCAGCCGTAAAGTAAATTCTCGCGATTGCATGACACAGCCTTCGAGTAGCTCGTTCCGCTATCACACTACCCTTGCATGGTAGTGATAAATAGATTAAGCGCTTTTCTGTGATGCTTGGTGGGCCTTTTGGCGCTGGTGGCTCCAGGTGCCTCCGGATGAATTTGTCCGGGTAACCATTTTGTTCCAGAACGCTTCGAATGAAACTCAACTCATCCGACAGCGTGTCTTCCGTGCATATTCTCCTCGCTCTTTCCGTTAGACAACGGAGGAGCTTTCGTTTTTGACTCATTGGAACGAAACTGGCGAAATGCGTATACTGGCCGCTCCAAGTTGTCTTCCTGTGTACTCTGCTTTGCACTGTCCCGTCTGATGTCCTGGTGATGTGGACATCTAAGAATGACAAGTGGTTGTTACTTTCAAGTTCTTTGGTGAACATTATGTTGTTATGTGCAGCGTTGATATAGGCTAGCAGATTTTTAATGCATATCCGTCTATCCGCAACACAAAATATGCCATCAACGTATCGGCCGTAGTAAACCAAGTTATTGATGTATTCCTTTAGCTGGGTGTTCTCCAAATTACTCATGAAGACATCGGTGAGTAGCGGCCCTAATGGTGAGCCCATAGCTATTCCGTCTATTTGTCTAAAACTTCCCTATAACGGACAAATCACAGTCTGTCGGATTCCACCGAACAATGTTATAAATCTCATCCCTAATCCCCTTCTTTCGCTGCCTCTGACTTTCATCAGCTGACATATTTACGGCTTTGTTGATTGGACTAAGGATCGTTTTGCTTTAAATCGCGTCTGACTCAATTGCTTAGTCGGCTATGTAACCGGCCAGATTTCAGTTAATTGTTGCCGGCATTTGGTCTTGTTTGAACCTCCGGTTTTAATTTGATCACAGAACTATTATACATTTGGTGGTGGACATTATCAAGGTCAGTATATAATTTGTTGCTGCTCCACGTCCGGATAAAAGGAGTGCGGATGTTGTAAACAATTTCAACGAGAATCGTATAAAGTTGGTCAGAACCGTGATTGTAAAAACGAAGGATGCTTCAATTAGAAGAAACATACAGAAAATTTGCTTCCTCGAGAGTAGTGAAGGAGGTAAGGAAGCACAACTGAGACGGCTAGGGCAAGGTAACTGGAGCGGGAGAACATTCAGGCAATGAAAGAAGGAAGGAATTTGGAAGGAATTTGGTGGGGGAATGTGACGGACAACTCACAGTCTGTCGGATTCCACCGGACTATGCCATAAGTCCCATCCCTAATCCTCTTGTTTCGCTGCCCCTGACTCACATCAGCTGACATTTTTACGACCTGATTGATTAGACTACTGATCGTTTTGCTTTAAATCGCGTCTGACTGAATTTCTTACTCGGCTGTGTAACTGGTTAGACTTCAGTTAATTTGTGCTGGCATTTCGTCTTGTTTTACTTCGTCTGGTTTTACTTTGAGAACAGATCTACTGCACATTTGGTGGTGGAAGTCTTCAAGGTCAGTATATACTTTGTTGCCATATCACTTTGTAAAAATAGCACCGTAGTGCACTTCCGGCCTTGAATTCTGGATTGATCCGGGAGTCTTACGTGTTGCTTAAATCCACCGCCGATTTAACGGTAAAAGTCCCGTTGAATCGAAACTGAATGTTCTTGGTGCATGTCAGTATAAGCTGCTTTAAACGGTCATTTGGGATACCATTGTTGATGTTGTGCAATCGGACAAACTCGCAGATGGTCAATGGTCTCTTATTACGGGATGTTGGTGGAAAGTGACGCTACATCTAGCGAGAACATCTTCCGTCCAGCTAGTTCGAGTTGTTTCACCGGGTCGATAAATTTGCAAATGTCCCGGAGGCTATACCTGGATATTGCTTTGCTGACCGACTCGGTGCGTTTAACACGCCACTTAATAGTCAAATGATAGGGTGTGTTGCACATGCCCCGTATCGGTCTCAGCGATTTACCTTAATTGTAGATTTTAGGTAAGCCATAAATCCCCGGAATCGCTGTTCCACTATGTCTGGTGTATTCAAAAGTGTCAAAGTCTATGATGTTTCCTTGTCTCAAGCAGCACAAAAGTGTTGTCATGGTCTTATCAATTGCCGGCGTCCTGTCTTTCTCGTTTTGCACTTTTCGGAATTTCGACGCGTCACCTAGGATGGTGTTCATTTTAACACTACAATCCCCGCTCCTTTATCCGGTCTATACCATTTCCCGGCCAAGTTGTCCTCTTGGGCAACAGAAATAATCTGAGGGGGCATTCAACATGAGTCTACTCAATTAATTTGTTCCGTGCGTACGCCAGTCACTCGTGCAGGTGTGTAGGTGTGCGTGTATAGCCCGTCGCCTTCAGCCAATTGGACCTCAGACGCACTAAGTCAAGGGGTGCAGGTGGGACGCTTCAGCTCCTACGCACGGAACAAATTAATTGAGTAGACTCATGTTGAATGCCCCCTCAGATTATTTCTGTTGCCCAAGAGGACAACTTGGCCGGGAAATGGTGTAGGTAACAAGACATTCTCCTTTATCTTGAGTTCCTTCAGAACGTCTAAATGCCTGTTCTCCAGCAGATGTTTGATGGTCGGTTTTTGCCTCAGGTACTAGTAGCATGTGTTTACCAACTTGGATTTGTACTACACACCTGCTAATGCTGAGGATGGTGTTAAGGTAGAAACTTGAGAATAGAGATTTTCGTATTGGACTTCCAAGTCTAACTGTTGTACATTACCTCGGAGGTAACAGAATTTCGGGCCTAGTGAGAGGACCTCCATTCGTGTTCTATCTAATTGCAAAGAGGAAAAATTGTGCACATAGTGCTCAGGGTCCGATGGAAATTAGTTACTCGGCTTTTTCGAAGCGATCTGCCGCCGTAAAGAAGCTATTCGTACTTCCACTTGCTGAGCCATACTTCGCCTAATGATTGATCCGAACTGTTTACATTCCTCATCACTCAATTCACTCAATGCGTTGGAGTACAATGAATAATGAACAATGATTTATCACGGGATAAAAGCAAGTGCTTGACACGTCCCGTAGGATGGTTGGGGTGAATATCATGAAATCAAAATATATATGGGTCATCTACCCAACGTCTGCCTAGATGAATACTTTGATAAATTACATCAATGTAAAAGTTAAAAAATAATCGAGCGTAAACGTTCGGAAAGACACTGGGGTGCAGTGATCGTTGATGTAAGGAGTGAGAAAAGTAAAATATGGTCGCTCACTTGGGTCCATTTGATACATAAAGCCTGTTGAAAAGCATGCTTGGCGTAATCCACAATAGAGGAGTTTAGGTAACAAAATACTGGGAGCTAAGAGCAACATCTAATCGTTTTTTGAAAACGTCCAAGGTAGGTGAGGATACAACTGAGTCTGGGAGTGCGTTCCAGGGTTGGAAAACCCGAAGGGAAAAGTAATTCCGTCGACACTCTAGACGGCTATATTGTTCCTTCAAT